CGACCAAAGCAATCAGGAATGAAATTATTAAAGAAAATAGAACAATACGGAAAAGTAGCAGGATTGAAAATTAATAAACAAAAAAACAAAACTACTAACAAAAAATTTGATGAAAACTCAGGAGAAAGACTTGGAAGACACATTAGAAATACAGACAACAACAAAAATAAAATACCTAGGAATCTGGCTCACCAACAAAGTATCAACACTCAAAGAAGACAACTATAATAAATTGACCTAACAAATTCAAAAGGACCTAGATATATGGAGTAAACTACGACTATCACTTTTGGTAAAATTGCCTCCATTAAAATGAATATTCTGCCAAAAATATTGTATCTATTTCAAGTAATACCAATAAACCCAGGGAAATCATACTTCAAAGATCTCGATAAAATGATATCAAAATACATCTGGCAAGGAAAAAGGGCAAGAATAAAATTGAAACATCTTCAAGACACCAGAGAGAGGGGTGGCCTAGGATTACCAGACTGGCAAATTTATTACAATGCAGCATCACTTACATGGATAAAAGACTGGATAACATAAAAAAACAAACACATGTCAGCACTAGAGGGATTCGACCTGCACCAGAGAGAGGGGTGGCCTAGGATTACCAGACTGGCAAATTTATTACAATGCAGCATCACTTACATGGATAAAAGACTGGATAACATAAAAAAACAAACACATGTCAGCACTAGAGGGATTCGACCTGCTGAAAGGATGGCATGCATTCTTATGGGAGGAGAAATTCAGACAGCATGAACATTTCAGGAGACACTTTATCAGAGAAGCACTTGCAAAAACTTGGACAGAAATAAGGAGAAACCACTATGACAAAATCCCGAGATGGCTCTCAACCATGGAGGCCCAAATTTATCCAAGTGCAATGGACATAGATAAGATGAGAACTTATAACCGCTGAGATTATTGCCACAATTAAACAATTGAAAACAGCTAAAGCTCCTGGGATGGATGGTTTAACTGCGGTGTACTATAAAACCTTACAAGCAGAAATGATTGAACATCTTAAAGATCTATTTTGTAGTATACAACAAGGGGGTAAAATACCCCCATCATGGAAAACAGCTTATATTTCATTGATACCGAAAGAGCAAATAGGTCCTAAAAAACCTGAGAATTTTAGACCAATATCTCTTCTGAATAATGACTATAAAATATTTGCAAAAGTATTAGCCAACAGGTTGATGCCAGTTATTCAAGAGGTGATTCATTGCGATCAAGCGGGATTTATAGAAGGCAGATATATGAAGGATAATGTAAGGCAAGTTATAGATTTATTGGAATATCTTGAGAAGAATAAACAGATCCCTGCAGTGCTGGTTTTCTTGGATGCAGAGAAGGCCTTTGATAGAGTGGATTGGAATTTAAAGACTCTAAAAAAGATGGACTTTGGGGATCAATTTATTCAGGCGGTTTCAGCAATCTATCAAGAACAAAAGGCACAGATTATTATTAATGGAAGTTTGACAACAGACTTTAATATTGAAAAAGGAACAAGACAGGGTTGTCCGTTATCCCCATTGTTATTTATTTTAACATTAGAAGTCTTGTTGAATATAATACGGGACTCGAAGACTTTGAAAGGAATAGTGATAAGGCAAGAGGATTACAGAATAAGGGCATTTGCAGATGATCTGGTAGTTACCCTAACACAGCCGATGGAATCAATAATCCAGATGAAAGACATTATAGAACAATATGGTACAGTATCAGGATTTAGATTGAATCAGAAAAAAACTAAGATGATAGTTAAAAATATGACACAAGATCGAAAACAGGAACTTGAAAGCAAGGCAGGTTTTGAGATAGTATCAAAGGTCAAATATCTAGGAGTTCAAGTTGCAGAATCAAATATGAAATTGTTCCAAAATAATTATGAGGTGTTGTGGCGAGACGTACAGAAAGATATGGAGACCTGGAAAAAACTGCAGCTGTCTTTACTTGGAAGAATAGCAGCAGTTAAGATGAACATTTTGCCAAGATTTCTTTTTTTGTTTCAAATGATTCCAGTGCTTAAAAGTGATAAACAACTGAGAGAATGGCAAAGAGGACTGAATAAGTTTGTCTGGAATGAGAAAAAGCCGAGAGTTAAACTGAAAATTATGCAAGATGTTCCAGAAAGGGGAGGCCTTAAACTTCCAAACCTACAATTATATTATGAAGCAGCAGCTTTGACGCAAGCAAGTGACTGGTTTGGAAGGAAAAAGACTGGAATATTGAATATAGAATGTTTTGCTCTTGAATTTGGTTGGCATGCTTACTTATTTTATGAGAACAAAGTAGATAAAGTATTTAAAAGCCACATACTCAGAGACTCTTTGATGAGAGTTTGGAAGAAGCACTGACTCAAATGGGATTACAAAATACCGTTATGGCTGGATCTTGGTCATATCATGTGGAATACAAATATAATGTCACTCAGGGGGGTTTTATATAAAGAAGTTCTTTTTGCAGATGCGGGCAGATGGCAACTGAAGACTTTAGAAACGCTGTTGGAAGAAGGGATTAATTTAACTTGGTTACAGTATAATCAACTTCAATTGAGATGGAAAGAGGACCAAAAAACTGGTATAATGATGCATGAGGAAGAATTGGTTAGACATATAAAAGAGAAAGGTCCAATGCATATTAAAAGGATTTATAATGTTTTGTTAGAAAGGGACTCAGAAACTGAATTGGTTAAAGATTGCATGATAAAGTGGGCACAAAATTTTGCAGAACCAGTGATGTTGGAAACATGGGAAAAAATATGGGTTCAGAATGTTAAATTTACACAGTCGCAGAATTTGAGGGAAATTTTTTATAAAATGTTTTATAGATGGCATTTAGATCCTAAGAAATTGTCGTGCATGTACCCTAATGTTCAACCAAAATGCTGGAGATGTGATTGCCTAGATGCTACATATTATCATGTGTGGTGGACTTGTAAGAATGTGAAGGCTTTTTGGATAAAAATTTGGTGGGTTATGCAGAATGTTTTGAAGAAAAAAAATCAGTTTTCTCCACAATTGTTTTTATTGGGTATAGTTAAGGGTTTTACATTGGGTGAAACAAAGTTGATATTGTATATGATAACAGCAGCGAGATTACTGATAGGTCAATATTGGAAAAATGAAGCTATGCCTACTATTGATGAATGGACTCTGAAGATGGCCAGCTTTGCAGAGATGGCGAAGATTTCAGCATATTTAAAAGATCGCTCACAAGAGACTTATGCATGGGAGTGGAAAAAGTGGATAGATTATGTGCAGAATAAATATCAAACTAGGAAATATCAGATAGCTTTTAACTGAAAGTATTATATAGAGATAGAATATTTGAATTTTGTGAAGATGTGAAAAATATACAGAGGGTGGAGGGGTTCAAGTTTTATAAAAAGGGGATTTTGATCTGGATTATATTCTGTGGAAGTCCGGGGGGAGGGGTGGGCTGGGGGGGGCTAGGGAGGGTTAGGGAGGTCAGGGAGGGTTGGGGGGGGGAAATTGGGGAGAAAATGTAATTGTAAAACTTTTTCAATAAAAAAAAAGAAAAAAAATGAGAACATACAATGAACTGCTGAATAATGAAGGAGAACTGAAGACAAGAGAGGAATTGAAAGAACAGGGTACAGACATTGATTGGTGGCCGTATTTACAAATAAAATCAAGACATTAAATGGATATGAAAAAAATTGGAATCCAAAAAGAACAGAATGAATTGGACAAAATTCTATTGGGATCAGATGATAAATTAATAACCAAAATTTATAATTATTTACTAAAATACAAACTAGAGGAAGAAGTGGTGAAAGTGAATATGATTATGTGGGTGAAAAATTTCGGATACAATATTGAAATCGATAAATGGGAAAAAATGTGGAAAGTAAATACCAAACTGACAATGTCTGTACCCTACAAGGAAAATACATACAAAATGTTCTACAGGTGGCATCTCCCCCCTGTATGTTTGGCAAAGATGTTCCCTAACAACACACAGGACTGTTGGAAATGTAGATCACATAAAGGGATGTACTACCACATGTGGTGGTCATGCCAAAAGGCAAAAAAAATTTGGAAAATGATTCAAAAACAGCTGGAAGAAATTACCACCCATTAAGACCAGAAACATACTTATTAGGAATACTAATGAATCACTTTGAAAAAGAAATACAATATTTGATAATCCATATTCTGACAGCGGCAAGAATCACGTTCACGCAAATGTGGAAATCGGAAGATAAGCCATTAGAGGATAAAATAATACAAAAAGTAATGGAATGTGTGGAGATGGACAGGATTACCAAAGAAATACAGGAAAAGGAAGACACAGAGTACTATCTAGTTTGGCAACGATGGTACGATTGGCTAGAGAAAAGGAAAACGAAATAAGAAACAATCAAAAGGACAGGAAGGGAATACCAACTAAGGAAACAAAAATTAAGAAATAATCTTAAAATATCATTATATAATGAAGGATGTAGATATATATATATATAGAAATATAAAATACCAAAGTAACTTTCTTTTTTCTTAAGGTTCAAGTTGTAAGACTTGATTTTAATGTATAGTTTGTCTATGTTGTATATTGTATGTATGTATGTATGTATGTATGTATGTATGTATGTATGTTTTTGTTTGTTTATCTTTAATAAAATAAAATAAATTTTTTAAAAAAAGAATCTCCATCTATCAATGTCTAAAGAAACATCTTTATATAACCTACTAGTGTTGAGTGCAATTATTTGAGAAATATTATGTGGAAAAAGAAGTTAATAAATAATTTTATGTATTTTATTAACAAACATTTGCCTATTGAAATCAATTCCTATTTTGATTAATTAATAGAGTATCCTACAATTCCTCTGAATACATTAAACTAGAGGGTGGATGCAGGTGGCTTCAAGGAGAAGATACAGCAACAAAAACGCCTAACTGAGTGTCTTTTGCAGGCTTTAATTTTATAACTTCTAATTTGATATTTTTTCCTTGCTTTAGATTTCAGAAACAATGTTATAAAAAAATTTCAAACAATTGAAGATCCTAATTCTATTCTTGATGAATATGTGGACCTAAATAAGAGATTCTCAGAGCTAATCATCGTAAATTTTCAACACTCTCTAAAGAAAGAGAATGTGAAATTTTGGCAACAGGAACAGCACATACTGAAATCATCAGCAAGAGAGCTGAGTCTTCAACCAGCATTAAAAGATTATTTAACCCTAAACATGGAGCAATTCCACAAACTGTTGTGTTGCAAGGAGCTGCAGGAATTGGAAAAACTACCATGGCCAAAAAAATTATGTTGGATTGGGCTTCTCAAAAACTTTACCAGGACAAATTTAATTATGTTTTTTATATTTATTGTAGAGAGATGAATCTCCATACAGAGTCAGAAAAGAGTAGCATTGCAGAGATAATTTCAAAACAATGTCCCAGCAATTATTCAGAAAAAGCCATTCAATTCATACTGAAGAATGAAAAGAAGCTTCTATTCATAATTGATGGGTTTGATGAATTAAGGTATTCTTTTGATCAGCCCGAAGATTCCCATTGCTTTGATCCCTGGCATAAGGAACCAATTAGAATTATTTTGAAAAATTTATTTCAAAAAAATCTTCTTCCTGAATCCTCTCTTATAATCACAACAAGACCTATTGCTTTGCAGACACTCCGTCGATGTTTAGAATATCCACATTTTTTTCAGATATTGGGGTTTTCTAGAGAGGAAAGGGAAAAATATTTCAGCAATTTTTTTAAAAATAAAGACCAAGCAACTCAAGTTCTCAGCTTTGTGAAACAAAATGATACACTTTTCACGATGTGTGTCATTCCCCTTGTGAGCTGGATCATCTGCACAGTGATGAAACAAGAGATGGAGAGAGGTATAGATCTTCAGAAGTTGCCATGCACTCTTACTGCAATCTATATGCTGTATCTCTCCAGCTTGTTAAAGTTTCACCACAAAGAATCCAAACAGGATGTCCAAAGAAAGTTGAAAGGCTTCTGCTCTTTGGCTGCAGAAGGCATCTGGAAACAGCAAATACTGTTTAGGGAAGAAGAAGTCAAGAAGCACGGTTTGGATCAGGATGACTTCTTTCCCCTCTTTCTGAATCAGAACATCTTCAAACAGGATATTAACTGTATTCAAACCTTCAGTTTCTTTCACTTAAGCTTCCAGGAGTTTTTGGCTGCTTTGCTTTATGTTCTAGAAGATAGAAAAAAGTGGCAATCTCAAAACCCAAAGAGAAATTTGCCAACACTTTTACATAGACATAGTATATATTTTGAGTCTGTTTTTGCAGTAGGATTTCGCTTCCTTTTTGGTTTTCTAAATGAAGAAAAGAGAATGAGAGAGTTGACAAAAGACTTTAAATGGAAAATTTCTTGTACGAATAAAGAGTTATTACTAGACTGGGTAAAAAATAACATTAACAGAAAAATTTATAAGATCGACCTAAATTGGATCACACAAGATAATCATGTGCTGTATTTATACAACTCCTTTCATAGAAGAATTCATTTCTATTTGGAAAAAGAAATACTTAGTTATTTATATGAGACACAAGATGAGAATTTTGTAAGAAATGCGCTGTGTGCTATCACTGAAATAAATTATCACTGCGACTCAGATATGGAATTGATTATCCTGGCCTATTGTTTACAACATTGTCAGAATTTGGAGTATCTCTATGTTCAAAGCCCTACATCTCGATATCAGGCAGATAATGAATTATTTCTTCCAAAAAATGAGTAAGTATTTTTGAAAGTTTATAACATTTGGGTGTGTAATTCAGATTTAATCTCACTGCTGTTCTCAGACCTACTCTCTAAAATATAAATATGGGTTAAAATGCTTTGTTAGAATATGTATAAATAACTTTTAGCAGTTAGATTAGGGATGTCTCAATCATTATATAGCCTTTTAAAACAATATATTATGCTCTCTACCAAATGGTACCAAGTGGACTGATTCCCTGCTTGCTTTTCTGGCTGATAATCTGTCTGTTCACTTGTTGAACCCTGACTCAGAAGATTGATAAAATTATAACAGTGCAAAGGAAACAATCATGGATCAATGACCTGTGGGTGGACAACACCTAGTTAGACCTTTTTTTTTTTTTAAATTTGATTTATATGCCACCCTTCTCCGGAGACTCAGGGCGGCTTACAATGCGTTAAGCAATAGCCTTCATACTTTTGTATATTTATACAAACTCAGCTTATTGCCCCCACAAACTGGGTCCTCAATTTACCTACCTTAGAAAGGATGGAAGGTTGAATCAACCTTGAGCCTGGGGAGATTCGAACTAGCAGTAATTGCAGGCAGCTGAATGATAATAACAGGCTATTAGTCTGCTGCGCCACCAGGCTCTTTTCTACTAGCCTTCATCCAATCATTAGCCTTTGTGATTGACATGATGGACTAATAAAAGGAAAAAGAAAACACCAGTTTTTCCATTTTGTCTGTCACCTCCAGTAGAAGATAACACTCTTGTCAATTTCATCTTGTTAAAAAAGGCAGTTCCCCCTTTAACTCTTCCACTAGTGACCTGTTCTTAAAATAAATGTCCAGTCTTTTCAGTGATTTTGTACAGTAACCCTCCAATGCCCAAAGAGCACTGCCCAAGGTTATTGCATAAGAGGCAATAACCAGCCACCAGAGAGGAGAAGGCATTCTTGCCACAGTTCCTAATAGCCAATTGGAGCAGAGACATTTTCCTAAAATTAAATGAAGCTCAGGCAGCAATCTCGACAGTCCCACTTGTTTATAATTATAGGCAATAATTATTTGGATGTGAATGAAGAGGAATATGTATGAAGAGGAATATGTATGGTATGCATGCATGCATGGGTGTATAACATGTGCAAACTGCTTCTCACATCTATGTCCTGGTTCTTAGGACTCCTTAAAATTTCTCCCATCTTATTTGTTTTTTTGTGTCTTGGATGTCATCTTAGTCTTAATTGCTTAATTCCTGCATATAGAGCTCCATAATCATTTCATTTACAATATGGTCTTTTTGTACTACTACTTTTCTAATTCTGCAACAAGAGTACATTCACATCTCGTTAATTTACAAATGGACTGGAAGCCATTTATATTGGATGAAGGATATATGGAACATTTCTTTAAATCACTGACAAAGCTGAGAAACCTAAGAATCCTGAGGTAAGAAACTGCTTGCATTTTAACACAGATGTTATTGATAGAAAAACCAATACATACTTTAGTACCCAGATTTATAATTCAAGATGATCACTAGCCAAGGCAATCCCATCCAAGGCATAGATTAGGTCATGTGGAGTTCCCCAAAATTACAATATTGTTGCCTCCACATGATGTAATCAGGACTAGAATTGTCTTGTAACCCATTCAAATTTACCCGTGTTTCCACCACTGCCCCTTGACTGATTCACTTAAGGACTCTTTTGTCCTCTGTAGCATATTTTTCAGAATCTTTCAGGTTGGCAATTTTTTTCACGCCACAGAATTAGGATATTGTCCTTCTATAAGAAGCATGAGAGCTAGAGTTGCTGAAATGGAACAGCTTCATTTTTCATACATTGTAACACATGGCCTAAAGAGTATTGTGTATTTGGAGCTATAGCTGGCCTAACTTCAACCATACTCCAATCATTTGTCTTCTCCCCAGCATAGTGTTCCCACCTTGTTACTGGAATAGGAATGAAAATCAGGATATTAGCTTGCACCAGGTTTATGCACTTATCCCTTCACATAGACTGATGTAAGATTTTTTAAATTTTTTAAAAAGATAATTTTTATTGAAAATAAACAAACAAACAAAAAACAAACAAAAACTGATATTTACATCATCTTCTTTTCAACATCCTTGCATTAGTAATCTATATTTATACATTTTATCTTTTTTATCTTAATCTATCTTTTATACATATATTTCTAGTATATCATATATATATATATATTCTCTTAATCTAAATATTTTATTTACATTTAACATAAACAGGTACCTAGTTTCCTTTCCACAATTTATATCTTCCCATTTGTTTCCATATTTCTCCACCTAATTTAACCATTGTTTAGTTTTCTTTTGCCCCCCCCTTTTCCCCCTTTCTCCTCCAACCATTTATGCCATTTCTCCCAGACTAAGTAGTATTCTGTTTCATCTTTTTCTTGTATCTCCTTTGTGAGCTTATCCATTTCTGCACATTCCATAATCTTATCTTCTGATGGCATGTCATTGTTTTTCCAATTTTGGGCGAAAACTATTTGTGCTGCTGTCATTATGTGAATAATTAAGTATCTTATTTCTTTTTCATATGGCCCATTAATTATTGCCAGTGAAAAAGTTTCTGGCCTCATTTGTATTTGTTGATTTATAATTTCTTCTATTTGTGTTTTAATTGTTTGCCAAAATTGTTTTGCCTTCTGGCAGGACCACCACATGTGATAATAAATTCCTTTTTGATGTTTACATTTCCAACACAGTAGGGAGGCATTTGGAAACATCTTTGCCAATCTGGCGGGTGGGAGATGCCACCTATAAAACATTTTATACATATTTTCTTTATAGGGTACAGACATTGTTAGTTTGTCATTTATATTCCATAATTTCTCCCATTTATCTAATTCAATATTGTATCTATAAATTTTTTCCCAAATTATCATATTTTCTTTAACTACTACTTCTTCCAATTTGTATCTTAATATATAATTATAGGTTTTTTTTTTATCAATTTATCTTCTGTTCCATGAAGAATTTTATCTAATTCGTATGTTCCCTTTCGAAATCCAAATTGTGCCAAATCTGTCCTGTATCTAGATTTTATTTGCATATAGGGCCACCAATCAATGTACCCAATTCTTTCAATTTCTGTCTTGTTCTTAATTCCCCTTGATTATTCAACAGATCTTTGTAAGTTTTCATTTTACCAATATCTAGAGCATTTGGTAGATTTGTGCCTCCATAGTGGATAGCCATTCCGAATTTTATCATAATGGTTCTTTTTTATGCCCTGCCATGTCTGTAGCAATGCTTCCCTGATCAAATGTCTTTGAAAATATCCATGCTGTCTACTTTTTCCTTCCCACAAGAAAGCATGCCATCCTCTTTGTAGATCATACCCCTCTAATGACAATATTCTTTTGTTTTTTAGTTCCATCCAATCTTTAATCCATATCAATGAAGTTGCTTTGTAATATGTTCCCCAGTCTGGGAGTGCTAATCCTCCTCTCTCCCTCATGTCTTGTAAATGTTTTATTTTGATCCTTGCTTTCTTCACCTGCCAAATGTAATTCGCTATAAATTTGTTAAAATCTTTAAAAAAATTCTTCCCCAATTTTATCGGTATCACTTGGAATAAAAATAACGTTCTTGGTAGCACATTCATTTTGATTGAGCGCTCATGTTGCGAACCGTTAGCGAAGGTCAGTAGAACCCACCCCTGGGTTAAACCCAATTCTTTCTCAGGCTGTATGACCTTGAGTGCTGGCACAAACACTCAGAGCTCCACTGTTCTTCATCAAGCTGTCATTCCCTCCTCCCACTTTCCCCTCATGTATTGCCCTTTTGGTTGACTCTTCTCCCCCCCTTGGTCCTTTGACAATTCTGAGTGTAACTAATGGACTGGATGGTCTAAACTAGCTTGTGGCCATGGGCATCTGACTCTTTAAGCTACCATGCTTGACTTCAAAGTTGCTATAGATTTGCTGATCATGTTATCTGATGAGGAGGCTGGGGAAGAGGTAGAGTTAAAGGCTCTAGAGACAATAGTCTTGGCTTTGATAATTTTAGTTGCAGAGTCAATGAGTACACCCTGGTTGAGTCAGTTCCAGTAAGCCCCTAGGATGCCTTGACTTCACCAGTGACAGCCTCAAATAGAGCAGAACCTGGTAGATCTGAGAAATTTGGTAAGAACAAAGGCAACCTGCAGAGAAGCCAATGCTAAGAAGAAAACTGCCACAGTTGCATATTGGGTGGAATATCAGTATGGTTGACTTATTGGCCTCACTCCCTGAGAGCATATTCTGAGAAAAACATTTTAAATGTTTACAACATTTAAAGAATGTTGTCTCTCAAGCTTCCTATCACCAGGTCTCTTATCTTTTCTCCTTGCATCTCTTACTTGTGAGGATTCCCCATCTCGACTTGTGCCAAGCTTGTGGCTATCTTGATAATTGCCCTTGTATCATATTGGACAAAAACATTTTTTCAAAATTTTGTCTGAAGTTGCATGTCACAGGATTGTGGAAGGCATCCTGCTTGCTGTCTTGTTGGTTGTCAAAGGCTACTAAACCACATATTGCTTCAATATATTTATTGACGAATACTAAGATTGAATATGTTAGAAGCTACAAGAATTTTATATATTCTTTTTTGAAAAAGATGGTGATCGTCTCTTTTGACCCATGACTAACTAAATTGTGGGAGTGTAGTTCAACATCTAAGTTCACTTCATATTTTAAAAGTATATTGGATTTAGAAATCTATTCTGTTTGGAGTACAGTTTAGATGACAACGACACACATGAAATGGTGCCAAATCCAACATTTATGTTTCAGAGTTTATTTTTTACTTTGATATATAATCTACACACTATTTATAGGATATTTTTAATGTTTTATTTATTATCTAGACATATGATATTTTAGATTTGTTAGTTCCCATATCTATAATTTTTATTGAGTGTCTGTAATTATTATCTATTTATCTATTTTCATATATCTAACTTTGTAACAGTACTCTTTTTCTTTCCATCCTCCTTTGAAAATTATAATAAATACCTCATAAAAATAAATAAAATGTAAACCAAAGCAGAAAGTATTATTCTAATGCTTCTGAATATTTACTGCACTTTCAGGTTGGAAAATTTGCACTTTACACGGTCCTGCAGCAGGCAACTTGCTGAAATCTTTAAAACAAACCGGAAGTTGAAGGAGTTAAATTTAATCTTAGAAGACACAAATCTGAGCTCAATGGACTTCCTGTGTGAGGCCCTCGAAGATCCATATTGTAAAGTAGAAACACTGGAGTGAGTGATCAGTATTTATTTTTCAGTTTGACACAAAGCTGGAGGGAATTTGAAGACAGACTGAATATTCGGAAGGATCTTGACAGAATTGAGCTTTGGGCCCTATTGAACGGGATGCAGTTCAGTGGTGAGAAAACTTAGGTTTTCAGATGACCTAGGTGGAGGTTGGTTGGCTTCTGCTCCTGGCCCAGGAGGAAGGAGAAAGTGAGTCTGCAGAGAAGGAGGAGGAGGGTGCACTGCTCTGCAATGTGTACTGGAGAACCAAGGAGGAAAGCCTTTTCGGGTGGATTCGGGAGGGGATCGGGCACTGCTGCCTGAAAATGCTTTCCTTCATGGTTCTCCGGTGCACATTGAAGAACCGTGCGTCTTCCTCCCACTTCTCTGCAGATTCACCTTCTCTTTCCTCCTGGCCAGATCCGCCGCCTGAAACGCAATGCACTTTTTTGATTCAGGGAGAGGATTGCAGTACTGCCGCCCGAAAACCCTTTCCTCTCCAAATCCAAAAATGGGGCATGCAGAGGTCAAAAAAGTGCATTGCATTTCAGGCCTCTGGGGGAAGGATTGAAGCCTGCTGCCAGCTGCTCCTGCCACTGAGTGAGAAGTGGTAGCGTGAGAAGCGCCGGTGGCTATGGGGTGGCAGCATAGGTGTGCTGGGGCTTCAATCCCACCCCCCAGGCCTGGGTCCACGCCAGAAGCCTGCTCATGCAGGGAGACAGGGAAGCTCCGGCTCGTCCATCCTTGCAGCCACCACCTCATTGCTCTTGGGGCAGCGGTTCTCGCGTTGCTGCAGAGGGCTTGCCGGGAAGCCCAGCACCCAGTGGGGAGGAGCCCAGGCAAGGCTGCATGTTCGGAGCTTCCCCAGCTGGCACATGGTGGGGCTGAGAGCGCTGCCACCGGCCAGGGAACAGCTGTCTCACCAGGGAACAGTTCGGTATCTGGTTGTCCTCTGGTAAGAGGCACGCTGGCCCCCTTGGAAAAAGTGGAGGCGCATGCATGGGAGGGCGCATGCGCAGTGTGGGGTGCATGCGTGGGGGAGGGTCATGTGCACATATGCAAATGGGGTGTGTATTGCATTATGGGTGCTGGCACGTGCGAGCACGCTCTGACTTTTGGCACACAATGCCAAAAAGCTTTGCCATCACTGGAATAGGCTGTATTTGGCTCAACAGTAGTGATTATGAGGGGGATGGAGCCGCGGTGGCTCAGATGGTGCTGAGCCTGCACACCGCTGAGGTCAATAGCTCGGTGGCTCGATTCCCATGAGTGAATAAACTGCAGAGGGACAAGAAAGGAGCCTCCCCCGATTGCCTACCAGAATTCAGGTGGGTAAAGATAACATTGCCTGAAAAAATTCATTTCACAGAGGCAGCCAGCCACCTCAGTGATCTCTGGCTAACATGTGCCATACACTAAATAAATAAATAAGGGGGATCTTGGTGGACCATCCTTCTAATAGATCATCACTTAAGTATGATTCAGCAGTGTGATACTGCTCCCTATAAACAGTGCAGAGAAGAGCAACAAAACTAATAGGGCTCTAGGGCTAATCTATATGATTATATGATAGATAATAATCCTCTATAGAACTGTATCAGTAGCTCCTTGGGCAATCTGAGCTTTCTGAGTTGATGGAGGAAGAATTTTTTATTGTGTCTTTTTAATGATGGTTCTGATAGAAGGTGTCCATTTCAAGTCTTGGGAGATTATAGAACTCTGAAACCTGAAGGTCTCTACTGTTGATACTGTTTAATATTGTAAGAAGTGGTAGAATAGGAGAGCTTCTCCTAAAATGCCATCACTCTGCTAAATGCCTAATTCCTTTGGCACTCTCTTATGCCTAAAGATATTTTGTAGTAGGGCTGTATTGCTATTATCCTTCTCATCTTCTCAGCCTTCTCATTTTTTTCATCCTTCTCATCTTTCTCAACTTTCCTATTATCCTATTAGTATCTTATGTTTTATTACTTGCTTGTACCTTATGATATGATATAAGATTATATATTATGATTTATGATCTGCAACTTAATGGTATGTACACGGAGAGCTTAAATACCGGAAACAAATTCCTTGTGTGTCTAATCACACTTGGCCAATAAAGAAGAGTCCTATTCCTACTCCTACTCCTAGTTCTATATTAACAGTTAATGAAACTAAGTATGCGTATCCTATTGAAGAAATGAATGAGGGGTGATGTGATAGCTGTCTTCCAGTACTTGAAGGGCTATCAAAGAAAAGAGTGTATCCAAATCATCTGAGGGCAGGACAAGAAGCACTGCTTAGAAGCTCATTAAAGAGAGATCAATCTGGAACTAAAGAGAAATTTCCTGGCAGAAAAAACAATTAATCAATGGAATAGCTTGCCTTCCTGAGTTGTTGTACTTCATCCCTGGAGGTCTTCAAGAACAGATTGAGCAGCTATTGTCCAGGATGCAATGATGTCTCCTGCCTTGGGCAGGACCCAGAAAATCCCTTCCAGCCTTATGATTCTACAAAGGCTGCATGTTTTGTTTAAATGATTCTAATGTATTTCTCCTTTTGTTTATTCTTGGATATTGAAGGAGTTCCCCATTTTACAGAGAGTTGTTTGTTATGATTAGGAGCTCTAGAACTGATGTCATGCTCATGTACTGGCTTGGCTCTTCTCCCCAGATTTAATGGGGACCAAGCATAGCTGTTATATAGTAGTTTCAAACTTGTCATGGATCTGCCTCCAGATGCCCTGCTGGCGTGAGTTTGGAGGAGGAGGGTGAGTTTGAGTCGGCAGAGGAAAGCATGGAGCTAAGTGTTTGGGGGCTCAGAAAGTGCTACTTTGGTGGAGCAGCCTCAATTGGGTCAATTGGGCGAGCAACAGGCTGAGGCTAAGTGAGGCAAGGCACAGCTGCAGCAAGTTGGCCAGGATTGTCTCCTGGCCAGTCTCCAGATGAGAACTGGGAGCAGCTACCACCAGTTAGCAATGAAGAGGAGTTGGAGTCCACACCTCCTCCCGATCCAAGGACAAGTAGAGCAGAGTGGAAACAGGCACAATGCCAGTCAGCTAGACTACACACAAGAAGGCAAAGTCACCTCTCACGAAGGACTGCACCAGTATTGCCTTTTAATCCTGCTCTGAGGACTTGAGCAGTGCTGGAGCAACCTACCCAGTTCTGTGCCTTGTGTGCTTGTGCCGCATATCCTGACTCTTTCAACTTGTGAACAGTTTTCCTGGACTTCATGTGTGCCCATTGGACTCAGTTACCCAGTGCTTTTTCCTGTGCTGAGCTCCGGATCTGAATCTGTGCAATGAGGGTGCTTTCTGAGGACCTGTTTTGGGGGGGTAGAAGAAACACCTATAGACTCTTGATGTATGTGGAGGGGGGGGGGCAGCACGAAACCTGTGAAGATCAATAATTTCTCTATTTGAAACATCAAAGCCAAAACCAGAATAAATAGCTACACCCACAAAAAAAAAGGTGGGAATCACACAGTGGATAAAAAATATAATATCAATAAATAAAGGATTTACAATAATAATATTTAAAAAGAGTTATTCCACTCATTCCTTCATTAAATGTATACCGTTAGATTTAGATTGTCTTAAGAAAATTCTCCATAAAACTCAAAATATTAGTACTGATACTGATCTCATCAATGTTTGTCATTGTTCCAAAAGTAAAAGTACCTGCTTATGTTTTGGAAATGTATCCTTGGAGAGGCAATTCCATTATCAGTAAACATCCATATTCTCTTCAGTTCCTTGAAGAACTGAATGTTTATGTTTCTTTTCCAAGAAATAATTGTAACTTTTGGGATTCATATCTGCAGGCTTAGTGGAGGAGTCATGACCAAATACTGCAGCAGGGAACTTGCAGAAGTATTCAGGAGAAACCAGAAATTAAAAAACTTGAAGTTGTATCTCTACGATATAGATGACAGAACAGTGGAGATACTGTGTAAGGGGCTTCAACACCCAGACTGTAAAGTAGAAAAACTATGGTAAGTGATCCAGGGAGAGGCAGTTCAGTTGCCATACATAACCATATTCTCTTCAGTTTCTACAAGAATGTAGCCCATGCTTGTTTCTTAAGAAATAATTTTAATTGTTTTGAATCCTTTTTATAGGCTTAGTGGAGAATTTGTGACTGAATTCTGCAGCAGGCATGTTGCAGAAGTATTCAGGAGAAGCCAGACAATAAGAGCATTATGGTTGGTGCTAAAGTATCCAAAAGATCGACCATTCAGAATGCTATGTGAAGGGCTCCAACATTCCGCCTGTAAAGTAGAAGAGTTCGGGTGAGCAATCATGTTTCTTTTTTAGTTTGATGTACATAACTTTCTCTTGAGTTCTGGAAAAGTATCTAAGGAAAGGCAGTTACAGTTCTGATGTATAACCACATTATCTTCACTTCCTTGTGTTTTCTGAGATAGAATTCTATCCAGGATCATAGTCACAAAGGCATTAAGATGCCCTCCTAGATTTACTAGATATTTGAGAGCTGTCTCTTCTGACTGCAAAGATACTTTCTTAGCTGTTAAGTGCTAAGAATCTGCCTGAAGGGCTACTTTTTTTTTGAGATCTATTCCTGGAGAAATAAACTCAGTAATTTAGAAATCTTCTGCCAGGTTTGCCATCGTAATCACTTCAGCCTACTTTGCTACACTGGCATTCTGCCGTATATGCAGAGAGGAGGGAGAATGGGAATGCAGGGAAGGGGATTGACAGGATGACAGGAACCAGAGGTGCCATTCCGAAACAAACTGGTGGGACAGACTGGCAGATCCAAGTGTGAAAATGGAATGCGGAAGTCTACCAAAGAGGCACCAAACCATAACACTGTTACATAAACTCTTAATTTGAATACTAGGGAAGATTTATGAATAGTCAAGGGGGTGGGGGGGTGGTCCGGGAGAAAGGGAAAAATCAGGATTTATGCAGGAATAGTCAGCTCCAGCTTTGCTTACACTGTAACTATTTGGCTTTAGTAAAAGAATATAATTTTTTCCAAATGGAATCAAGGGTCTTTCTTTCTTAAGGATCCAAGCTAGGACAAGCCTGACATCTTCATTAAGCAATTTGTAGATATGACAGCAATTACTCTGATAAAAAAAATAAAATCTGCAGCTAGACTTTACAGATGTATAGATCTATAGCCTTTGTTCATTCTTTCTTCATTATTTGAGTGGATAATATCACCTTGTTAACACTTCCTGGAATTTTTCTTCAATTGTTTACTAGCTTCCTTTAATACAGAAAAGATCTGTAGAAGAGCCATGGTGGTGCAGTGGTTAGAATGCAATACTGTGTGCTACTTCTGCTGATAGTTGGCTGTCTGCAATTTGGCAGTTTGAATTTTACCAAGCTCAAGGTTTTCTCAGCCTTCCGTCCTTCCGAAGTCGGTAAAATGAAGACCCGGATTGTTGGGGGCAATATACTGACTCTGTAAACTGTTTAGAGAGGGCTGTAAAGCACTGTGAAGTGGTATATAAGTCTAAGTGCTATTGCTTATTGCTATCTTTGAAACTTTCTTATACTTACGATTTTGGGAATCTGCTTTAATATTAATATTGGCTTGTGAGGTATTGGCACTGAATAATTTGGACTTACCAGACTTCTGGGGAAGCAGTGGCAAAATTAGCATTCCTCTCTGGACAAGGAGGGGACTTAGCATTGCCCCCAAGCACTCTAGTCTCTGGTGAACTTCAAGGTCTGGGTGCTAAGCGATTGCTACCTTTATCCAAGGGCACAGGGTTCACAAACTCATTTCTTAATCACTTCTGGAAATTGTTTGTTATCTACTTTGTATTAGAAACCTTCAGAATAGTAAATTTCATTACACTAAGTGATTGTTCTTCAATCCTAAACGAAAGAAGTTTTATGTAAATGTAAGCAATAAAAAAAATCTTATCTCTTATTTTGGAATAAACAGCAAAAAGTAATGAGAACATTGACTTTGGGAAGTTATATGCAGAGTAAGGGTCCAGATGGATCTGAAATAAATATTTGAAATTAATTATTAAGATGGGAGAGGCAGTTCCGTTATCAGCAAATAATTATATTCTCCATATTCTCTTCAGTTCCTTCAAGAGTATAGTTTATGCTTGTTTTCCAAGAAATAATAGTATTTTTGGGGGATTCAAACATGCAGGCTTTTTGGAAAATACTTGGATGAATATTGCAGCCGGCATCTTGCAGAAGTACTCAGGAAAAACCAGAGATTGAGAAAGTTATGGTTGTGGATTGAGGGTTCAAAAGTCGAAATGGTGGAGTTGCTGTGTGCGGGGCTTCAACACCCAGACTGTAAAATAGAAAAACTATGGTAAGTGATCATTGTTTATTTTTTTAGTTTGATGTTGTTACTTTCTCTTGACTGTTTCTCTTCTGAAAATATATCCAGGGATGGGCAGTTCAATTGCCATATATAACCATAGTCTCTTCAGTTCCTATAATACTAAACACAGTAAGGAACAAACAATGGAGGAAAAAGCGAAGGGACTAGAGCTGTGATGGCGAACCTATGGCACATGTGCCACAGGTGGCACGCAGAACCCTTTCTGCCGGCACGCCAGCCATCGCCCCAGCCCAGGTCCACCGCACATTCATGCACCTCCCATCGGCCAGCTGGTCTTCCAGTCTCTGCCGCGCATGCACGGAGGCAGGGCCTTCCCCGATCTCTGCAGGTTCTACCCTCTGCAGATGCCTCTCCGTGGCAGGAAAGCAGGAGAAAGCTAGCACGCGATGGGGGGAGAAACTGAAAAGATCTGAGGAGGCACAGAAGGCAGGAGGCACTCAATCGGAGAAGGCAGGAGAAAGCTAGGATTCGATGGGGGGAGAAACTTTGGAGATCGGAGAAGGCAGGAGAAAGCTAGGATTCAATGGGGGAGGAACTTTGGGGATCGGGGAAGGCAGGAAAAAGCTAGGATTCAATGGGGAGAAACTTTGGAGATCAGGGAAGGCAGGAGAAAGCTAGGATTCGATGGGGGAGGAACTTTGGAGATCAGGGAAGGCAGGAGAAAGCTAGGATTCGATGGGGGAAAAACTTTGGAGATCGGGGAAGGCAGGAGGCAGCTCTTTAGCACAGCTAAAGCACAGCTCTTTAGTCAGATCTCTCCCCCCTACAAGCGCGGCTCTTTTAAACAGGGAAAGAAGACAGGCAAGAGAACGAACACCAGGAAACTTTGGAGTTGCCCGATCATCAGCCAAGTGAATTCTGGCTCTAGAGCCACCCCAAACCCCACAGCCCATGAGCAAGGTGGAAGAAGGGAAAAGCCCCTCTCTTTTCAGTTCCCCATTGGGCTGGCTCCGCGAAAGGCTGCCTCCCGGTCTCGGATCCAGTTCCCTCCTAAAGTTTCAAGGGCCACCACATGATTTCCATGAACTTGAACTGAGCAGAATTGCGGGGCCGAGCTGGGCGAATGTGGCGGCCGAGTGCTCAGCATCGGTGGCGGCAGGCAGGTGTTGGGGAAGCACTGAGGGCAGCATAAGCATCTGGGATGCCCCTCTTTGGGCTTTCCACTTAGGTGGTGATAGGTGCAGCCAGTCCCCGTCCACCACCTGCTTGGCCTGCAGCTCCCAGTGGGAAGGAGCCCAGGCAAGCCGCTCATTCAGAGCTTCCTCGGGGGTACTTCTGGCCCTGCCATCTTGGCAGCGCCATGCGCCGGGCGGGGAATAGCTGTCTCACCAGGGAACGGGCTGGTACCTAGTTGTCCTCTGGTAAGAGGTATGCCGGCCCACTTGGAAAAAGTGGGGGGGCGCAATGGGGAGGGCAAGCATACACAATGTGGGCGCATGTGTAGAGGGAGCATGGGGGGTGTTGTGCATACATGCGTAAATGGGGGCACGCATTGCATTATGGGTTCCGGCAAACGGGAGCGCGATAGCGCTCGCACGCTCAGACTTTTGGCATGCAATGCCAAAAAGGTTCGCCATCACTGGACTAGAGACAAGTCTAGCCACTGAAACTTAACCAACAAAATGAGGAACTCCAATTAAAGGAAAAAGATTGCAACCAAATTGAACACCATAAGGAACAATTAAATAACACAAGAATAAACCTTTAAATATAGACCAATGCAGAAGTGAAATCTGAACCAGTTTGCTACCAGTTCGCTGGCCACGCATGCTCATTGTGCGCGAAGTGCATGCTGTGCATGCACATGCACAATGCACACCAAACAGTGTCGGCTGGCAGCCCCCAGGATTAGAGTGTTCTCCGTGGCCGCACCGACCCTCTGGAATGGGTTACCCACCGGGCTCTGGACGGCCCCTGACCTCCGCACTTTCCACGCTGAGCTGAAGACATGGCTTTTTCAGCAAATTCCCTGATCTGCCGTGGGGTTTTTAATTGTCTGGGGATTTTAAACTGACTAATTTTAGTATTGGGATTGTTGTGTTGTTTTTATTTTGTGAGCCGCCCCGAGTCCTATGGGAGAAGGGCGGCATATAAATTTGAAAAATAAAATAATTAATTAATTAATAAATAAATAAATAAATAAATAAATACATACATACATACATACATACATACATACATGCTGCACATGAACATGCACAGAGCACTTTGTAGATCAGACAGTCTATCTAAAGTAGTTTGCTGTACCTCAGGAGCAAAGTTCAAAGATGTGACAGAGAGGCTCATGAAAATAATTAAATCCAGAGATTATTATTATTCTTTTCTCCTCATTCACGTGGGGATGAGTCATATGACAAAGAGCCTGAAAACCATATCAAGAAACTATGAGCCAAAAAGATGCGGGCACAGGTGGTGTTTTCCTCTCTACTCCCAATGAAAAGTAAACATCCAATCAGGGAATGCAGAACATTTTTTTCAATTTAAATGTATTGTTTTATCATAAACTATAAAATACAGAACAGTAAAACAAACAAAATTAAACCAAATAAAAATGCATTCAACCCTAACAACAACAACAACAACAACAACAATAAATAGTATACAAAAAAGGAAGGAAATGTTGTCAATTAAATTTAACATATAACATGTAGGATCCACCCTGGCTGAGTGCTGGAAGAAAAGAAAAAGCAATAAATTCTCCTCCCCTTTTACAAACATGTTTGTGTTTGTGTGTGTATGTGTGTGTATGTGTGTATTGTATAAAGAAGAAAAAGTAGTCAACAGTTTGAGCTAAATATTACACAAACCCTCAAATCCCTCTGTTAGCCATCTGTTATTTATATTTAGCACGTAGAATGTCCACAAATGATTTCCAGCTGATTAGATATACAGCTGTCTAATCCATTATCTCTAATCAAAGCAGTTAATTTCGCCATCTCTGCTAATTTACCCATTTTCAAAATTCATTCTTCAACAGTCGGCATCTTTTCTTCTTTCCAGTGTTTGGCAAGTACAATCCTTGCAGCTGTCACCATGTAAAGGAATAGCATCCCAAATTGTTTTTTCAATTGACTTGTCCATTGTACCTAAAAGAAGAGCTTCGAGTTTCATTAATATTGGTATCTTAAATATTTTTTCATTGTCATTGTTATGTGTATCTAGTAAGTTTTCACATATTTGCAAGACCACCACATATGAGAAAATGAACCTGGATTTTAACTATATTTCCAGCACTTATTAGAATCCCTTTCTACATTTTCGCTATTCTATCAGGGGTCAAGGACCAACAATACATCATTTTATAAATGGTTTTTTTTTTCAAACTATAATTTAATGTAAATTTTAATCCCTTCATCCATATTTTCTCACATTTATCTGGCATTATATTATACCCAATTTTACCATACAGTCTTTAACCTCTTCATCTTCTAGATTCATCTTGAGTAGCATTTTATATACTTTAGAAATCAAGTGTTCAATCTCTAGAACATTAATTAATGTCAAATTCTTATTTAGTTCTATGAAAACAAAACTTTTTATCAAGTTTAAATCTTTCAAAAATCTATAATAATTAAACCAATCACAAGCAAGTCCTTCACTTATTAGTTGTTCTATTATTTTTATCTTAAATCCCTCTTTTTCAAATATCAATACATCTCAATATGTCACCATTTACATTCTGAAATCATCTCTGCTTTATGTAATGCTTCATGAGGTGATAGCAAAAGTGGCACTTTATCAGCTAATCTTCTTTTATACTTCCACCACATACGTCCAATCAATTGCCTAATAACCTGAATCTGAAAGCCAAGATTAACTTTTACTTTGTCATACCACAGATAGGCATGCCACCCAAATCAAAACCTTCAAGGTCTAACAGCCTTGACTTTTTTAAAGTTACCCAATCTTTTAGCCGTACCAGATGACAAGCATCATAACATAATCTAAGATCTGGCAAACCCAGACCTCTTCTATCTTTAGAATCTTGTAGCAGCTTATATTTAATTCTTGGTTTTTTATTTTGCCCAATAAATTTAGATATATCTTTCTATGCTGTTTCAAAGTAGAATATCTAATCAATATTGGTGTAGTCTAAAATAGAATAACATTCTAGGTAGTGCATTCATTTTAATTACTGAAATTCTTCCCATTAATGACAAATGTAATTTTTGCTATCTATTTAAATCCAATTTTATCTCCTTCCATATTTCACCATAATTATTTTTGTAAAGCTTAGAATTTTCCTCAGTAAGAGTCACCACCAAGCACTGTACTTTTTTCACAACTTTAAAACCAGTGTTAAATTCCAATTTATTCTGATCTTCCATCTTTATGTTCTTAGTCAGTATTGTCATCTATGATTTATTTATTCTTAAACTTGCCATTTTTCCAAACATTTTAATCTTCCTCATAACATGTTCAATGTTCTCTAGCGGGTCTTGCACAATCAATACCAAATCATCAGCAAATGCACGTAATTTGTAATTATGCACTTTAATTTGTAGTCCTTTTGCTCTGTTAGTCTGTCTAATATCTCTATTCAACAGTTCCAACACTAGAACAAATAATAAAGGGGATAATAGACACCCCTGTCTTGTTCCCTTCTGGATTGCAATTGATTTTGTAAAGTCTCCATTCACCATGATTCAAGCTTTCTGGAGTGTATAGATGGACTTCAGACCAGTGGTGGGATTCAAAAATTTTTATCTCCAGTCCTGTGGGCATGGTTTGATGGGTGTGACTTGGTGGTCATGTGACTAGGTGGGCATGGCTTGGCTGTCACGTGACTGTGTGGGCACATGGCTTAGTGGTCATGTGGCTGGGCAGGCCTGGCTGGGTAATTGTGTGACTGGGTGGGCATGGCCTGAAACAAAGTAGATTTTCTTGAGTTGCTGGAGTCAAGTCAAATATAATAAATTATTATTATTAATTGCATATATATTTCTCCATGCTTGGTGACAAAAAGA